GTTTTTACTTTATTAGCGGCACCGCGATCAAATGTGTCCGACTTCTCCACATTAAAAATATGTCCGTGTGTCAGTTCGTGATTGCGTCGGTCTCTGCTTAATCTTGTCTTTGAACTCCTTCACGGCCTCGACAGTATTCACCACATTGCGTCCAAAATTCCTTGCGTGTGTGTCCACCTTCGTCAATGGGCGAATTGCGCCAATTTCTCTACTTGCCACAGGTAGTAGACGCGATTTGTGGTCAGCCTGGACAGCATAGTCGTTCGCCTGTGTGGGTAAGCATAATGAACGATGTTGTCCATCATAAGCTGTCTGCATCTCTACAGGCATCGATGACGGCCGTCAAATGCATAAATGATCTGGCCAGTTTGGTGGGTGCCTCGGGTGCTATTTATGCTCTATGCCGGTGAACTCTTCGTGGTGAAAGTTTCCAACGTTCTTTGATCGCGTGCTCCAAGGTTTGACTTTCAAGCCACCACGCCTCAGCTTGCCGACGGTAGTATGTCTGTGCCTTACCTGCTAGGTGCTAACCTAGAACATCAGCCTCAATATCCTCCGGCTACACAGTCCACACGCACGCTATGCGAATCCAAATTGGCAGACAAACTATTGCCCTACTCCATAAAACTGCTACCGAGACCTTGGCAGTGTTTCTTTCCATCAAATGTTGCACAAGAGCTTCCGTTGTTGCGTATCTGGCATGTGAATCCTCGGATGTCCAGGGTGTACATACCCTCGGTTGAGGACACCCATACCAGGATGATATTTCGCGGGCATGCCCGTGCCGTATATTTTGGGGTCGGGTACTCTGACCCATGTTGACGTCCGGGCCTGCATATCTTGCAGGAGGGCCTTCAACACCTGCCTGGTTTTGTTGTCGCCTAGATCGCTGGCGATACGTTTGGTGATACCGTGGAAGGGTTTCATTCCAAGGCCTTGATGTTAATCCCTGCCCCGACCTCCCCTTTCTGGCTGCCAGAAACTCGGGCAAGTCCGTACTCAGCTTGATGCCTTGTTCTCACTGAGAGAATTTCATCTCACTGAGAGACTTTCATCCGATTCATCCTTTCGGACGGTCCCCGAGCGTGGCCAGCATTTATTCGATCACCTTCGCAGGCGCTGTCGACTTTTCTTCTAGGTAGTGATCGTTGGCATTAGCCTTATCATCGACCGCTACATTAGGTGCCCATTCACAGATAAGTAGTCACAGTCCCAGGTGCGAGATTCACTACAGTGCTACCAGGTGTAGTAAAGCTATCGTATTAAAAGCTGTTTATGCATGCAGTGCAGAGGAAGACAAGCTTTACGAGCTTTACGTCATAGGATTAGTAACCTTTTCAAGACTAGCTGTATAAGCTTGCGTCTTCTAGTTGTAAACAACCACGTCTCAATGAGACCAGTATCACCAGATACTATTTCCTTTACAAAGGAATTACGCTCTAGCAAGAAATGCTATACAGAGCAGATTCTAAACTGATTTGTTTATATGTATGTACCTTTCTAGCACTAATGTAAAAACAACTACTGTACTTAGTTTTGTTAGTCACTATTTATCTGTAGCCTTCTTAATATATAAACGTATGTATCCTTAGTACTTAACCAAGTGCTCGCTGACACGATGTGAACCCACTGTACCTTAGGTACGGTCACATGAAGGAATGTACCCAAAGTACAGCCACACCAAAATGGAGTGGCAAGTGTGTATGAAAAGTACACACCTTTGTGTAACCCCGTTACAGTGTCGCTAAATCTACTGTGAAAATAAAGCTTGAATCGAAAAACGTTGACCAAAACTCACCTGTTTTGCTCTACATTTTTGAGTCGAGCACTATCTCCACGGGTTAAGATAAGCTAGCAAAAATCACAAATTTTGCAACGACGCCGTCACGCACACGAGTCACCGCAGGCAATTTTGTTTCCATGCTGTGTGATACACTGATAATTGCGCATAGGAAGCTGTAAAGCTGCTGCAAAGTAAATGACGATCCATCCCGCTTATCCGGTGTGAGGTTTCCAAAAAGCAAATCAAACCGATCTTGGCGGATGCCGCCATCGTGCAATATAATAACAGGCCATCGAGTTTTTGCCGTCTTGCAAAACTCCTGTGACGCGTCATGTGTTTAAATGACCATCTGGTCACAGTACAACGGGATGCTGCTTTGGACCAGCACGTATATTCCCCGAGACGGCATGACCATCATCACTTTAATCTTGGTAAAGCTGGCACGCATCCGTCCTTGCCGACATTAGCACGTTATGTCGTATGCTAAATCGTCTCAAGCTTCGTCCTGTAAGAAACAATATTGCAGCGTCGCTCATTTTTATACACTTCGCCATGACGTTGGCGAAGCCAAAAATGACTAGTCGCTGAATTCAATTCAAGGAAGCTTCGCAGCACTGACTTGTTCAAAAAATCCTCCTCAGCACGTGCGTAGAGCGGAGACTGCCGTTGCGCTACCGTAAAGATGATGCTGGTGCCCAGTTCAGACAGATCCAAATATTAGCAGAAGCAAAAGGTGCGTGAAGCAAATGCAAACGTGTGCATTCGGCAGTACTCGCGCTCGGCTTGTCTTTGATTGGTGCTCGCGTGTTGAAAAGCTCTGATGGACGCCGGTGCTTACGTGCAGCAGCTTCAGCACAAGATCGCAGCACATCTTTTATACTGTTTTGATAATACGTAAGACAAACATGAAGCTAGATATACTGGTATTGATGTTTCATGTTTGATAAAAACATCTTTAGGGCACGAAAAACATTCAGATAGCATTGCCCTCCTCAGTCATGGCTGTTAAAGATGTTTATCCTTTATCACCAAACTCTGATAACATTTCACCTGACTGCAAGAAATTTCGGCTCAACTTGTACGGGGACTTAATCCTACAACCATCTCCAGCTTGTTCTTGATTTGATCCGTATTGCAGTCAATTCTATAAACTTCATTTTTTTCCAAATAGCTCAAAATATACGCACGCAAAAGCACAAGTCTCTGAGTATTGAAGCGCTGGCTGATGGATGAAGTGGAGATCATGAAGACACAAAACTTTTAGAAGACATTGTGTCTGACAGGTCATGAAGGCTCGAAGCGAAGGCTACAGGTAAAGGGCAACCTCACCTGAGTGGCTAACATGTTGACAGGTAGGACCAAGGCATGCGGACGTCATATGGGACCAGGGACACATGGTGATAGGCACGCTGGATGTATGCCAGGTGAATCTTGAATAGGTCAAGTTGCAGTGCTGGTCACCAAATTACATATGGTAGGGTTGGCAACGAAGGGTAGTGAACACTCTATATATTCTACTTTTACTTCCTACTTCTACTGCACAAGTGCAACTACGTCTAACAGGTTATCAGCCTAACTACACGTGTTGTTGGTGTGGCTAAATAAGCGGCATCGAAGAGATGTCCACTGTTAAACTATCGCAGGCACGGCAAGAACAGTTTCAAAAGCCGGCCCCTATTCTTGTCCCAAAGAAGGTAAATTATCTTATCGTCCAACGCGAAGAAGAGGTTAAAATCGTATTCATATGATTTAAGAGTACAACAACGCTCTAGTCAAACATGTAAAAGCACAGATGCCTTCTAATGCGCCATTGCCTATGAAGACTATGCGCAAGAAATGTCCGCAGACCAAAACCCATACATATGGAAGTCGATAAGCTCGACGGCAAAGAAGGTGATAACTACATGCTGTGGTTCCGATAAATAGATTTGGCTATGTTTTATAGCCGACATCACATATGAACTATACCGTGTTGGCTTTGCCACGGGTAAGTTGGGTGGCTTAGCCAAGCAATGGGCATTCGCGTGCGGTGCATTACTGCAAGATGTATTCTCAACATAGGCAAATCTGAAAGTTCAGATGTCATGTCAGTTTGCACCACCAAATCAAGCGCACCGAACTCGGTCGTGATTCTTAGCGTGTCGCCAAGGTAAGTGTGAGCTGGTGGCATATGTGCAAGAGCTGCGAACTCTTATTGATATTGCCGCCATGGTCATCGACCCTCTGCCGGTGGCAGTGACCGTCACGGTCTTTATGTAAGGCCTCCAGGTTGGCGTTGCCAAAACGGAAGTCTTCCGGGTAAACTCGTCCTCAGTTGAGGAAGATATTAAAATGGCATAAAATGCCGAATCCAGCTTTAAGGCCACTAGGCCTGCCACTTATAACTACTCGTCTGATGGGTCGGTTCAATGGCCTGTAGTCTAGTGGAAGAAGAATTAGCAGAGCTTCAAGCTGCGTAGCAGCAAAGTGTGCGCAGATGTTATATCTGCAAGAGCACAGGACATGTGATTGCATACTGCCCGACGCGACAAGCATATTTGGTCTCAAAAGGCGGTAAACTCTCCTGTCAGTTGCGGGGAAATGGTAAGGCTCAGTAGGCGCGGGGCGCCCAAGTAGACGTTACCGACAGTACTCATTCGTTAAGAAAACTGGTGTCAGAATGGTGTTGGTCACGTGTTTGATATCGATCATTATGATAAAGATGATCGCCACCAAACGCAGGAAAACAGCACTTTAACAAAATGCGTGACTATTTGATAATCATCGTGACGAATAGAAGAAGAGGATGTTAGCCACTGAGCTATTGAAAATACGCCAGTCATCCATCGTCGCTTATGCAAACAGGATCTCAATGTCCGAAACACAAAACATGCTCAGCGCAGATTCAGTCGTTTCTTCGATACAACATCATCATTTTATAGCACTCCATTTGTAACAACGCTATTCTGATTCATGTAAATATATATATCGTCTTCCGCTATCGAACGCAGTTGAAATACCAAATACCTTCCGTCAGATTCTTTCGTAGGAGAGTCCGACGAAATGATTGTTTCGATACATATATTGTATAGGAAGTAAACCCATTGTTCAAGTTAAGCACTTTGATAATAGTATCATTAACTTTTCAGCTAATAACAATCGAGATACTCAGGATTGGTTAAAATGTCCATTATGCATGTAGACGACATTCTTTTCCATCGCACTTGACCTCGTGACAATGCCGCTCTGCGCCGCCTGTTGCACCACTAAAGGTTTTAACAAGTACGAACAGTATTTGTAACGTCTCTTGCTAGCATTCAGAAGTATTGTATATCTACTGATTTCAATTTGCCATGAGTAGATTTCACGGCGGACAGCGACGTTTGCCTCGTCCAGTGTGTAAGGAATGTTTTCGCATTGGGAAAAAACCGGTAGATCTTAGTGGCGAGCCCGAGAAATTGCTGCAAGTATTGTTGACACTTTTGTGAAATTTGTGCTGCAATTAGTAGCTCATGATGGGAGGTGGTTATTTTGATGTGTAGGATTCGAACCTCAGGCGACAAGAAATCCGTCAGTTTAGCAGATTTTCGATTGCTTAGTGTCATTGGACAAGGTGCATTTGGAAAGGTGCTATTGGTGCGACATTCTACTACTGGAAAAGTGCACGCAATGAAGGTATCTTGATGGAGGGGGGTATCACTAGTTAATTTGTCATTCATTTGATCATTATACAAAGAAGTTCAGTATCTTATACGGAAGTGTCTATTTGGGTGTAATAGATCATCAGTAAAAAGTTTGTCATTGATATGGACAGCTTGCACTACATGAAAACGGAACGAGATGTCATGACAAAGGTTTGGTTGCCTTTTTTGTTTGTTTATTGAGCTAGTTCGTGTCATCCTAATAACTTATACCACCCATCCACCATTCCATCACGATACGAACGCGTTGATAGATGCGCCACCCTTTCGTGATCGGGCTGAATTATGCTTTTCAAACGGAGTCAAAGGTAACGCAGTATGGAAAATTGCTCACGGGTATGAAGCATTTATATTAATGGCGTTAGCATTCAAAGGTTTATCTCGTGATGGAGTATCAGCCGGGTGGAGAACTATTTTCTTATTTGAAAGAAGAAGGCACGTTCACCGAGGTAGGCCACAAGTCTATTTGCTGTCATATTTTGAAATCTTGTTGACCATTATATTTCTTTTGTTTTGGTAGGACACCGTTCGATTCTACCTGGCCGAAATGATTCTAGCATTGGAACATCTTCACGGACACGGCATCACGCACCGGTTTACATTATTCCATGTTGTATACTGTTGTGTGCTAGATCTTACATTATTGCATTGTAACCAGTGATTTAAAACCCGAAAACGTTCTCATCTCAGTCGAAGGGCATATCAAGCTGACTGACTTTGGTTTGGCAAAGGAGTACGTCGAAGGACAGGACTTATTGACAGTGTGTGGGACAAAAGAATACATGGCACCAGAGATGCTACTCGGCAAGGGGTATGATTCTGTAAGATACGTATATCGCAAAATGTGCGGCTTACCAAAATACTGACGTTGTGTAAACAGGCTGTAGACTGGTGGTCACTTGGTGCTCTTGCGCACGAAATGCTGACCGGAAACCCTCCATTTCAATCAAAAAATCCCGCAGACCTACAAAAAAAAATTCTCTCAGCCAAGGTCAGCTTATTTTTGATGCGGAACAGAAAGTGGCGGCGGATGACTTATCCGCTTCATGTGACTCATATTGTACAGCTCCAATTGCCACGATGGCTGTCCAGTGAAGCTCACTCGCTGATCAAGTCCCTTTTGGAACGCAATGTGAGCAAAAGACTTGGCGGGGGCAAGTCTTCCATGTTTGTGTTCAAGGGAGTACAGGCTCTTAAACGCCACCCCTTTTTCAAGGTGCGTGCAACATACGAGGGTCATTTCGAAGTTAAATTAATCATGTAGTGGATTGCTACAGCCAGTGAACTGGGAGAAGATGGAAACTCTGCGCATCCCTCCTCCCAGAGTACCAAGCATTTCTGATGAAGCTGACACAAGCAATTTTGACAAGAAATTTACAGAAATGCCAGCTCTAGACATGATGTGCGAAGCAGTTATTGAAGAACATAGCAACTTGTTTCGTGGATTCTCGTTTTGTCGGCAAGACAGCATCACCTCAAACCCGCAGTCACCGATCAACACGGCAATGCTACTACCAACAATCGCAAGTCTAGTTCTCGATGGTGACAATATCAAGGACATCAATGACGCTATTGCTTCAGCAACTAGTAAACAGGCTGTAAGCCCGTAAGTAGCTGCAATTTTAATCTGACGGGATCACTGCTCCTTTTTCTCTTCCAGCTTTGTGGCATGCGTATCGATGGAGTTAAACTGGCGAGTCCAACGTGAGTTGTAGACGAAGGGGCGCAAGTCGAATCGGTTGTCATCGGGAGAGTAATTCTCAGCGTGGTAGGAAGGAGTCAGCGTAGTCATCTTGTGGCGGTTAACAGAATAATAGAAAAAGAATCGCTTCACCTTCGTCGCGACAACAGTGGGTGTCAAGTGACTCCACAAGTGCGTGAGCTTGCGAAACATCCAATAGGGACCGCATCGGTCAATCTTACGCAGCCGGCCGAAAAAACCTAGCTCCTCATATGTCATGCCCATGTCATCCTCATCCAGCTGAGAATGGTCAGCATCTTCGTCAGCATTGTCGTCGGTGGGACGTAGCTCCGCAGTTGGAGGAGCTTCCTCAACAGTCCGTAGAGAGGGATAATTGTAGTTAACAGCTGCCCAACGCAGAAGTTTTTTCAGGTCGCCCTTTGACACCGCGCCAATCGGGTTCAAGTCACCACTGCTACAATCGTACTTGGTCATGTATCCACGCAACGCTTCATCGACGTTACCGGAACTGAGCACGAGCAAGAAGCCAGTTTTTGAGCGCACCCACGGCAAAAGCTGGGCAAAAAGATAAGCCATCACCATACGAAGGCGCGCTTGAATGTTTTGAAGCGCCAAATCTTCCTGCATAGTGCCTCCTCGAGAAAAGTACTGAGGTGTCTTGCCTGTCAGAAGGGAAAAAGTTTTGACAACAGCATCCACCATCATGTCCATACCCATGCTAAGATGATAGCACCCAATCTCGCTTGCGAGAGTTGCAGCGCGCTTTTTCGTGGCAGCCGAGCTATTCTTTGTACCCATGTACGTAGTATGGAGAATGTGTGAAGCCAAAGCGGCAGGCGTCAGTGGTTGATACACTTGGTCTGACGTACCCATAATCCGCTGAACGTCTTTTCTAACTTGTTCGTCACCCTCATTGGCGGCGTTAGTCACGAGATGGCACATCACGCCGACGATGCATGCCACAGACGATGAATCCGCACCGCCTGAAAGAGGCAAGAAAAAACCGCTACCTCCGCTTCGACGCAAATAATCCCACAGCCAGCATGCCGGACCAAGCGCAATCTCCTCCTCTGGTACATGATATTTAACTTCAATGGCAGGTGTAGTAGGTTGAGTAAATGACTTTTCGTCATGGCACAAGCTAAAATCGACGGCAACTTTGGGGATCACAGTGTCCAACGAGCTTGCCTGCTCACTACGACTGCTAACAGAGCCGCGGTATGACCGCACATCATCCAGATCCACTGTTGCCGTAACCACCTCGACGTCCTTCACTGAAAACTGTGTGCCCTGTGCAATCACTTGACCATTCACCACAACAACAGCACAGCCATCAAAGTATAGACGACCGCCATCACAACCCTGTTGGTTTGCGTACAGATATACACCGCCGCTCTTGGTAGCTGCTCCACGGATCAAGTCCATCCGTTGGTCAAGCTTGCGCAGCTGGTGGTGCGATCCCGAGCCATTTCCAATAATTTCCACACCAGCCAGACTAAGGTTTATGTGCGGACTGTCAGGTGTAAAAAGCTCTTCGCAAGCCTCCGACGCGCACGATGTGTCGAGTGTAGATACAGCACCGGAACCGAATGGCACGTGCACCACACCTGTAAGCTTCTGCAGAGTAGCCGGCAGCACAAAGTTATCAAGACCACATGACTTGCCTGCACCTTGATTAGGTTTCCATGTAGTAAACCAGCGTGTCTCACGATAATTTCCGTCATCTGCAAGAAAAAGCTTGGGACGAATCAATAGAATGCGCTGATTGAGACAAAAGACGCGGCAATTGTAGCGCACACCGTTGTGCATAACTGGCATACCAATGTCACATAAGATATTGTTTGTCACGTCTGAGCGTAGAATGAACTCGAGCGACTGCCAACAATGATAGAATGTATCTTGCTCGAGGAAATGATCCTCACAGCCATAGCCACAAATCTCTAGCTCTGGACCGACACGATAGCGTGCACCACGCTCCTTCGCTATATGAATGGACTCAATGATACGTTCTAGATTACCATCAAAGTCTAACGCCCATTGGTTCAGGTTACATGTGGCTACAGTCACTAACGCACTCATATAGCACTTTATACAACGAAGGGGCACTACTTTTCACGATTTTGTGACCGATCGATGATTGACCTACAAACATGGTGTGCACCACATCTACTTCGTTATCACATTAACATGCTAAAAAAACACGTCCCTGCTCATATGGCGTGCACAAGTGCACACGCTTTTCTGTTTGTTTATACCTCTGACACTCTGTACTATGTGATAATGCTACAGGTCTGGTTTGATCTTTTTTTATCATTCTGCTAGGCTGTAAATGGCAGTGCCTGAATAAACTGTTGTCATATGCCACCGAGTTGTGACAGTTGGCAGTTGGAATAACGAGGGACCAGACATTGAAGGACAGAGCCGTGGAACGGTAGCTCGAAGCGCGGTACTTAGTCTGGAATTGGAAGCAAGTCGTCCAGCTAAATAAATATATTAATTGTGTGTCAGAAGTACACATCCAAAGGCAAGAAGAACACGGTACTATTTACTCAAAGCTAACGCATAGGAGATTGCAACATAAACTTCTGCAAAAACAGGCTGAGGTGCTAGTATTGCAATCACTGTCGCTTGATGTTTAAGTTATAAAAAGCATCTTGTACATTCATGTAAAATGTAAGATAGAATTTGTAGATCCTTAGTTCGCACTACTGCTACCTCTAAGCCTACAACGAAACCTGAAACAACTTGCATTTCCCAACATGACAGCACCGCAAACGCACACGCAAGAACCACATGTAATGTTATCAGAGAGTGCAAGCTCCGTTTACCTACTCCAGCGTTACACTCGCGAATCACGTCTTTGGTCGCCTTGATTTCTTCTTAATAAAAGACTGCGGCTGAAGAGATCTTGTCCTTTCTCGCTCTGTCCTATCTCGCTAGCTTTTTGTCGTCCTGGTGGATCCGCAAGCCCTTTACAAGCAATCTCCCTCAGCTCTTTGTCTCCCAACACTTGTGACATAAGTACCTTATACCGATCTTGCGCAACAGATTGCTCCGCCTCTTGGCGATGCTTTAAATCGCCATCCACAAGTGATAAAGAGTCCCACGAAATCTCCGCAAGGTTCTCCAGTCTCTTGGCCACTTTCGCATGTAAAAAATTGTATGTATCACAACGCACCGAGCGATAGCAAAGCGTAAACCTGAGCTCACCAGCTGTTTCCTTGCTAGTGCTTTGCTTGGCTATGCTGAGTGTGTCCGCCAACTTAGCTCCCCTTCTATCACTTCTTTTGTTTTCACCTTTAGTTCTTTCCGCGAAAATAAATCGATGATGCTTGTAGTCCCCGCCTTGCACGTTCATAGAGATACAAATCACGTCATGGACACTTATCTTGCCCAGCGGGTTGTCGGGATCTTTAACAAATTTTTTAGACTTCTTCATCGTTTTTCCAAAAACGAATGAAGGGCATAGTTTTGTCGCTGACTTCCGAAATTCACTGTCGTGGGGAGACCGGTTCTCCACTTGAATCAAAATGAATGAAACCTTCGCGTCTATTTCATCGTCCGATTTCTTTTCTAACTCAAACGCTGCATCGCCGTCTTCCTTTTTCCAGAAGATTGGAATCAACAAATTGGCTCCTTTCTGGTCACGAGGAAATATACCCGCAGCCCGGCGCCCAAGCAAACACCATAGTGTTTCCACTGTCGGCTCCAACTTCAACTGCACAAAGTGGGTAAATCCCATTTGCCACCCATCCCACTTTGATAGCCAAGTCCGAAAAGCTTCTCTTGTATCGCTAGGTGCCGCAAGCATTTGCCGCGTAAATACTGGCATCTCTTCTACATCAAAAGCTTTCAAGAATGAATGCACAGCTGTAAAATGGCCGGTATAAACTGTATTTCTTAGCACGCACTTGTCCATAGCGAGAAGCAACACAATACGTGCGACCACCTTACCAATACCACCAGTGTCAAGAGCTTCGTTCAGAACTAATTTCGTTAGCTGAGGCAGGATAAATTCTGATAACGCATCGTATTGTCCATACCATACTTCTATCGCACCCAAGGCGAGCATCGGGTCCGATGTGTAGCTGCTCACATAACATTCTTTTTCGAAAGTTACATACGCAAGAATTCCCATTAAATCGGCGACGGCTTGAGACGCCAATGGTGATGTTGAGTACGGACGTAAACCCACTCGACAAAGTAAGGATGCGACGCCGAACATGTTTTCTTTCTTGTAGCCGCCTAATCCGGGATTCTGCCCAAGAAGAAGCTTTTTTGCAGCAAGCATGACCACGCCATCTCGTATTACTGAAGCCTTGGAGTAGGTGTACCACAATGGCCGACCCATTCGCTTCAACGCGTTCCAAGCATTCTGCTCGCTCCCGGTCACAGCGTCTTTGTACGCGATTACATCAATACCCATTACTTCTTTATCGTCACTTGCCTTGCTTTCATTATCCGCCGTATCCTCCATCTTCATTTCTTCCAAGTCCGACATTTGACCTCCTGCCATATTACCAGCAGTCTCCCTAGCTTTGTCACCCATGTTCACAACCATTTCGGCATCATCACGCAGCCTTCCGCCTCGAACAGCTTGCTCGTCACAATGTTTTCGCCAAAACAAATCCATCGTGTGCGTTAGCACAAAAGGCGGAAATAGTGCCAAATGATTCCCCCTGGCACGTCGAGTAGATGGGACATACACAAATTGCGACGTAAGCTGCGGCGCAAGGTCAGAAATTCTTGAATTTGCATCAATCAGTAGCCCAAAAACACCGCCATTCGCGGTGAAGGCGTCATGGAGAGCGTGTCGCAACAAGCGAAAGTAGTTCAATCCGGTATCCGTCTCATCAAGCAGCGATCTTGCTTCATCGATCACCAAAATCACCATTTTTTCACTTGAACTGTCTGGTGTGCTGGGTTTTTTTTCTAAAGACATTTTCCGCTCAAAAATCTCCAGATTTCTACACACGTCAGCACCAGCACCAGGGTCTGTAAAAAGTCTCAGCCACTCTTCTTGGACGGTCTCCCAATTTTCCTTTGCGTACTGAGAAATCACTTTTAGCCGAGTAATCAATTGCGAAGACCTGCGAGTAGAAAACATCCACGATTGAAGACATTCCGACTTTACTGGATACCCAAACGAGCCTCTTTTGCGTGCGCACACATAGATAACTCTATGTGTTGAGGAGGGCTCCAGTGCCATGCGCGCAAGCTCGAATACCATCCGACTCTTGCCAAACCCGAAGCTTTGGACAACCGTCACATATGGCGCCTTGAGTTCTTTCGAATTCTCACAATATATTCTCCAGCACCTTTCTACGTATTCTTTTAATTCATAGCTGGCACTGCCAATGTATTCAGACTTCGTGAAAGCCTTCACGAGCTGTTTGATTTCATCTGGCGTCAAGTTTGGAATAAAGGGCAATATCTGGTTATATTTTCTGGCAACATCAGCGGTTGTCTCCTTTGAGATGGCGGACGCGACTTGATGCTGCACGTCGTACATATGCTCGATCTTTGACGTAAGGTGTTCAGATAGTACACCTTGAATCACTTTCTTCGTGATTGTCTTAAAACATTGCTTCATTCTATCTGCATTTATTACATCCTTCTGTTCCACAACCTTTTTGTCATCTCCCATCTTCTTTGTTACAAGTTCAAAAACACGGGTGTTCACAAACTTGGCCATTTCTTCGAGACGACCCACCTGATGATGCATGCAGCACAACATTAACAATATGAGAAGGGAACGGCTAAGTAGCAGCGTACATGAGCATGAAGATAGTGTACCTTTGGCGAACTCTTCATCTTGACGTCGTTATTTTGGTCAGAGAGAAAAACGATGTGAGCGATGCAGTGTCGTGAAGGTTGTTTCAAGTCAGGATCATTCAACCATTTTAATCACTTTCCCGTAAATTTCTTCTTGACTACTTCCCATCTTTAAGTTGTAACGGGGTTACACAAAGGTGTGTACTTTACATACACACTTGCCACTCCATTTTGGTGTGGCTGTACTTTGGGTACATTGCTTCATGTGACCGTACCTAAGGTACAGTGGGTTCACATCGTGTCAGTATAATGGTCAGTATTCACATCGTGTCAGCGAGCACTTGGTTAAGTACTAAGAATACATACGTTTAAAATATATTAAGAAGGCTACAGAGCTAGATAAATAGTGACTAACAAAACTAAGTACAGTAGTTGTTTTTACATTAGTGCTAGAAAGGTACATATAAACAAATCAGTTTAGAATCTGCTCTGTATAGCATTTCTTGCTAGAGCGTAATTCCTTTGTAAAGGAAATAGTATCTGGTGATACTGGTCTCATTGAGACGTGTTTGTTTACAACCAGAAGACGCAAGCTTATACAGCTAGTCTTGAAAAGGTTACTAATCCTATGACGTAAAGCTCGTAAAGCTTGTCTTCCTCTGCACTGCATGCATAAACAGCTTTTAATACGATAGCTTTACTACACCTGGTAGCACTGTAGTGAATCTCGCACCTGGGACTGTGACTACTTATCTGTGAATGGGCATCAAAGAGATTCCGCGGTTTGTCGATCGCAGGCACAACAAGAAGGGTTGCAAAAGCCGGTCCCTATTCTTGGCCCAAAGGACGTGGAATACCTCATCGTCCAACGCGAAGAAGAGGTTAAAAGCGTATATATGTGCTTGAAGAGTACAATAACGCTCTGGTAGAGAACTTAAAGGCAACAATGCTTTCTTCTGCTTCGTCGCCTATGGCGACTATGGCGCAAGAGATGGTCCGCAGGCCCATGCATATGGAAGTCAATAAGTTTGACGGCAAAGAAGGTGATATCCTTATGATGTGGTTCCGGTAGGTAGAGTCGGCTATGCTTTAGCCGACATCATATATGAACGATACCGTGTTGGGGTTGCCATTGAGCCATAGAGTGCTCTGTACACTTGCTTCTTGAGCCTCTACAGTCTTTGCACCTTGCGCTTAATAAGGCCAAAGCGTTATGTGGGGATTTGAAGATTGCGGTAATGGTCTTCTTTTGGGTCGATCGGGCAATCCAGTGATTATGGTAAGTCCATGTCACACATGATCGGTAAATAAAGAGATCACACGGTGTGAGCCACACAATCGCGGATCGGGATCGTGCTACCGGATCGTAATCAAGGCTAAAGCGAGGCATGGCCTTGGTCCTGTCATTCAAGCAGGCAAGATGATAGTTTCTGGGTTTATTGGACTTACGTTAGTAGTGAAGTTTGCATGGAAGTCCATATGTATTGATTTTGTTAGGTTAGTCATAGGTAGTGTTTTCCCTTAGGCTAGTTTATTATAAGCATTGGTAATACATAGGTAACATCTAATTTACACGTGTTCTTATCTCTCGTTGGATTGTGGCCAACCGTTGAATAAAGGAAGTACACGTACGTACAGCAGATCACCCCTGGAAGATTTGGCCAGGGGCTCAGGCATACTCAAATCAAGTCAACTGCGATCGGATGCAGCGTTCAAGAAAGGGACCTCTACGAGGCGCCTTAAGTGACCAGAAGATCTACTTGACGGCTCAAGAGGATAAACAAGAAAGAGAAAAGAAGATTCAAGGTGTATTAAGGCAGCGTTTAACGCCAGTGTTTACCGCGATCGCGTGGGAATTCCTCACCCGATCCAGACCCCATCACCATCAAGATTGGAGCAAGTCCCCGAGGAGAGTGCAACCCGCCTAGCGTACGAGCACACAAGGTGAGGAAGGATAAGCATGCAGTATCCGAGTATCCTCCATCCGTTGACAGTTGGAGCGCCAATGGAAGGTCGGGATCACAGATAGGTTTTTGTGATCACCGCCCCACCAAAATAGCTTGAGTGTTCAGATCTTCTGGTGACTGGAAATATCACCGTGTCCCTCATAGCGAAGATCAAACGATCAAGATGGATTTGGGATCAAAATGTCAGCGGAATAGGGATCTGCGTGGACTCATGAAGATAAAGAATAACTGGATTGTTTGAGTTTTGGGAGGGACTTGGACGACGGGAAGATTAGAAAAGAAGATCAATTAGGCCTGGTAAGAGAAACCTTACCCCCTCCCCAGGTCCCTTCAGGGACCTGGGAAGGGGTCGTGATAAAAAACACGACTCGCTAGGTGAGGATCAATCGGTTCAAACCGAGAGATCTTCATCCGAAAACCCTCCAGATATTACATTAAAAGTCAAGAAGTCGTAGGATTTGCAGAAGAAAAAGCTGCGTAAACCAGGATCGGATCAGGATGATTCAGTCAAGACATCTGATCATGGCGATTTAATCAAGTCTGTGGATTAAGATGACCAATTGAAGTTGCTGGATCATGCTCGTCCGTTCAAGTTTGTGGATGAAAGCGATCGTATTCAGTCGGAAGGATTGCAGCTGGATCAGATAGCCTACGAGCTCTATTGCAAAGAATTGAATACATTTTTGCTGAATGATCCTGTGCTCAAGATTATGAAGCCAAAGCTGATCGGAGCGTTGAAAGGTCTAATGTTGACATCGACACCGATGACGAGCACGTTGAACGAGATCCGCCAGCTGATGCAGCTGCTACAAGACGCTGGTTTTACTGCTGGGTCGTTCGAATCCCACCGACTACTAATCGATCGTGATCACGATCAGGTAATCAACACAGCGTGATCGCTGTTTTAGAAGTTATTTTCTATGGCTGGTGTGAAGAATCACGGACCACCGGAACAGAACTGATACAGTCCGAATAAATACCATACTGCATCGTCGCAGTCGCCTTGGCAAAATCTGACGTTTACTTGAAAGAGTCGATCAAGATCGAAAGGATGTCGCTTGGACCTTCAGGTGAAGCATCATCGCGTCATCGCAATGTGTCGATGAATGCCGTGCCGCGACCAGGTATAAGCCCACGGTTGAAATTATAAAACTGATCGGATCGAGCCAGTTACGATCGTATTTTGATGCTGCTATAGAGAAGTTCGTTCGTGAACAACAGACCAGAAAGGGACGATCGGTTCAGATGATCGATCAAAAATTTCCCCAGATCGCCGATCTTACATTCAGGATACTGAGATGGAACCAGTGGGATCGCGCTGTCGTCAATCACACGAATATGATCTGGACAATCTTGGCCTGGACGATCTTTGAAGACCGTTGATAGCGACCGCAGAGGATATGTCGAGTGGAGGGTTTACCACTTAGCGTAATTAAGCATCGGCGATCGCTGATCTGAAAGAGCTTTCCGGAAGAGCCAAGAACGAAGATCGAGCCAGAAGTTGGATCAGCAAGGACAAGTCTGCCTTCCTACGCGATCAGGCACCAGATGTGGAAAATGTTTTGGTGATTTACTTACGGGAACGGCATGAAACGGGCATGCCCAATTTATCGGATCGACTCGAAACATTTGGAAAATCGCTTTTGGAAAGTTTCATGGTTCAGTATGGAGGGTATGGTGTATCTGCCGAAAAACACTATTACCACGCATAGAAAAGGTCAGATGAAACTCCTTTAGAGTATATGTATCGATTGAATGTGGCAGGATGAGTGCGAAAGTTCCAGTACGAGATGGATCACCCACTTTTCGTCGCGGGCATGTGCAACATTTCGTCGAAACTTTGGATGATTGCAATCTGGAATAAAAGCTGACAATATTACGATTGAAAGATGCAGATGCCATGGAGAAAACAATACGTGCGTATTAACGTATGTAATGCCGACTAGGCAAAGCATCAATGGGATCGAGCAAGTTTATTTAGCGATCTGCGATCTTACTCAATCCAACACCATCAAAACCTGCCCTCGCAGTGCGATCGATCCATGTTAAATGTAACAGCAGTGGACTGGAATCAGAAACTAATGGATCGGACTCAGAAGCGGGTCAACAAAATTTTACGTCGATGCTTCAGCGCATCGCACGATGGGTCCCACATATCGCGGATCAGTAAAAGTGGTTCCAACCAGGGAATGTCCACGATCAAGCTGTTTCGCCAATTTCATGTACGTACTCGTCCACGTCCACAGTGATTGTGGATGTTGGAACAGATTGATCTGTCAGAAGTGTGGTCTACAAGGATATCCGTCAGGAAAGTGTTTCTACGTCTGTGCCGCTTGTGGGGAGATGCACGAAAGGTGGGAAGTGTCCTATGGAGGAGTGATGCAACATGATCCGCAAGTGGTATGTAGCAACCAAGCATGCTGGGTTGTTGCCACAGAAGGCGGAGGAGATGTAAAACTATGATGCTCGCCAGGCTGGAATCTAGTACAAGCCAAGAGTTTGAGGCTTTGCATTTATGCATTTCTGAAAAACAGACAAGTTGAGCACGGTATTAAGGGTCGGATGAACACGATCGTTAATACATGAGATTTGAAATCAAATTGTTTGAGTTCTGTATCCAGTATGCGATGGGTTGATGAATATTCGCGATCGCCTACTAAGATGGAGCTGGATCAAGCGCCAGGTGAATCAAGTGGATATCGGAATTATCACACACCACGCAAGTGGCTCAAGGAATCTAATGCGGCAAGCAATATCAGCAATAAGAAAGCCACTCTGCTTTCATTTAGGAGCTGAAGTCTTAATCATCGACACCACCTTTGCTCGTAAGGTAGGATGTGTCATAGATGATAGTCAAAAACAAGAGTGTGGGGGGTATCGGTGAGGGCATATACGTGAAGGAAGGACGTACAAAGATCAAGATCACTTCAAGTGGATCTCTGGTGTACTATTTCGATGCTTGGGTCGGCGATCAGGTCGGTCAAGAGGCAATCTTGGGCATGAACTTTATTGTGCCAGTAGTAATTTGGCTGAATTTGGACGACGGAACACCTTTCTTGCCAGATAAAGCCA